CTTTTCACTGAAGACTGAGAGGGAGCAAGCGTGTGAGATCAGTGAGATGACCAACGACAATTTTCACAGGCTGGCCCAGGTGTTTGATGTGAACGCCACGGCTCTACGAGACCAACTTTTACGACACAGGCCCGTCGCTGAGCAGATGATGCGAGAAGGTGGGTTGAAGAGCCGGGACGCTTGGCTTCGAGCGATGCAGCGGCTGAGCAAATCTGGATCACCGTCGGACCACCTGAGTCCAGTCATGTGGCGCTACATTGCTTGGCAAGCCACTGGGATTGGAGACTTTCAATTTTGGCCGGTCGGCCGCCGAAGAAATACAAATATTCATATAGATCAATTTTACATGGGACATTGTCAGTGCAGGGCAGATGAAATTAATCAACTAAGTAGTCAGTGTCGTTGTGGTTGCCAGGAATCATTAAATTCCAAACCACCGTCTTATTAGACAATTTCATTGTCAAATAACATGTGTTGTTTGATCTTCGTTTGCGGGTTTGCTTGTATTTAGGCATCAACCAGCGGAGTGGAACAAGGCTTCTCCAAGACAGCGGCTGTGGTTGGCCGAAGAGGCTCATCTGCTGAGACTGATGCGACAATGGTGAAGTTCATGCTGACTAATTTGACAGCCCCGGAAATTGACCAACTTATCAAGAAGTCGCGGGTTCTGTATGAGCAATGCGCCCCAGGACGGACTCAAAGACAAGGCAAACCCCAATTTAGAAAAACGATCATAATAATATTAAAATACCCGGCTTCGCCCAATAATTGGGGTTAGGGCCCGGCTTCGCCCGTCATTGCCAATGACGGGCCAGGCCGGGCCCTTAGCCAGCCCGGCTACGCCCGGTCAAAGGTTTGGCCCCTTAGACCGGGCTTAGCTGGGCAGTTTGTTGGGCCTGGCTGGGTATTTAACAGTTCATGTATAAGATGTTTTTGCCTTTTGACAATTAAATAAGGAAAATTTTCAACGGGATCAGTCATATTTGCAGGATTACGCCGAACCAGAGACTGCGCCAGAATCGACAAGAACATCAAGCGAAAAGCTATCGAGCAACGGGATACAATGACAGGCTGGTTGAGCAAAAGACGTATGACAGTCCAGGGGCTAGCAGATGAAGCAAGCGACTTGGCCTACATGGACGAGGATGTTAGCGAGTTGGCTGGCTGGTCACAATCCCACGCAAAAGAAATGGCCTTTCAACAAAAGAAGGCCTTGAAAGGCACTATCGAAGCCTTTAACTATGGAATACTTCTTGATCATGAAGTCGAAGACAGTCTCATCGAGGCTGCAGAGGTTGCTGCATTGAAAAATGCCAAAAATGACCATGAAAAGGTGAAGGACAGAAAACGCAGGATCGTCGCAGAGACAAGAATGCACCTCACGATGGACTGGAATGGCTTTTCAAACCTCAAAGTGTGGGTGCAAAGTTCAGTGAGAGGTCAGACAGACCCTTAACTCAATTGTAATTCCAGATTTGTTTAAGTTCAGCGTCTTGTTTTTCATGTTTTCGTTGGTCCTTTTATTCACTTATAGCAATTATTATTGACAAGTGACATTCAGGAGGCAGCGGTCATGCAATACAACATGGTGATGACAACTCAACGGGTTGAGGCAACGCTGTACATTGTTGAGGATGCCACTGAGCTACCTGAACGAGCTCGCTGGGCGGCTGTTCTGACTGGTGGATGGGTAGCTGAAGCTTCCTCCTTGCAAAAGCGCGCTGGTGTTGTGTTGAAATACAAAATGGCTATCCGAACTCAAAAAAAGGTCTTTATGACTGATGACTTCAAAGCTCGCCATTCAGAAATTGCAGGGCTGGTTCGTGATTCCATTCAATATCTCAAACCCAAGAATGGTTGGAGAATTACTTCAGAGATGCCAAAGGCACATTTTGTACTGCACTCGTCACAGAACTTGGTTGATCCGGTGAGTCAGGGACAAAAGGTCTTTCTGAAGGATCAGTTTATTTCACATATCGAGAAACTTGATATGGGCAATTCTGGGAAAGGTCAAGGGGAAGATTGACCCAACAGCTTAGCTTGCAAATCACAAGCTACATCGCCTTCAAGGTAAAAAACATAATACTGAGCTGCTTTGTCAGGCACTTGGCAGTGATGAGTGATGAGGTCTTAGATGATGCTCGAAGTTCATTGATTTGATGTTTGAAGCCAGCTTAAGCTTCCTGAGATGATGTGTGTCACGGCCAAATTCCGTTTACGACTAGATGAAAATTCATCATGGAAACAAGTGACTGAGATTACAATCATGTAATCCTGATTACATGCAAGTGTCGTCTCAGTCATTGACATGTCATGGTCGCATGTGACATGTGAGACAGTCTATGTGGACCACCACATTAAAACCAGTCAGACGACGGACGTTTCAACACGTCTTTTTTCAAATTTCATTTTCAAATTTCAAACCCAGCGCCCTTCTGCCCGACGCAATGGGTGACGACAACGACGAGAACGTCGACGAAGTGGCCGACGAAGTGGCGGCCCAACTTTTTGAAAAGCTGATGTTCGACCAAGTGAAAAAACTTGGACAAGGCGGCATGGGGATCGCCTACAGGGCCCGGTCGTTGAAAGACGGCACGACAAGGGTGCTGAAGGTCAACCTTCGTCAAGCCAGCGACGACGACGAAGGTCAGGCTCTCTTGGAGGAGGGGCAGCTTCTGAAGTCGTTTCTTGGACTTGATTCATTAAAAGTTTGCTAGTTTGTCGTCGTTGATGTGGGAAAAACTTGATGAACGCCAAGGCTCAGTCACCCCCACATAGCCGCCATCTATGACATCCAAAGCTTAGAGGGCATCAACTACTTAGACATGGAGTGGTGCAGAGGTGGAGATCTACATCACCGAAACTTGCCGGCGCTGTTTACCAGTTTCCCTAATTTGACTGGAATGACTTCACTTGACACCCTGTTGATTAAAAGAATCCAAGGTATCTTTCATGATGGGTGCGGCCGGCGTGGGATTGCAACCACCCAGTCCATCAACCTTTGGATGAAGCACCTGGTGAGCGCTTTGAAATACTGCCACAGCCGCTCACTGATTCACAGCGATGTGAAACCTGCAAACCTGCTGAGTCTTGGTCAATTTTTAGTCATATTTTCATTTTGCTTTAAGATTTAAGCATGTTGCACTAAGTTTAACAAATGTTTGTGTTCTTTCACGGGGTTAAATTAATTATTATTATAACTTAACTGACTCTGAGCCTGTCTCATCGTGACAAAGCCAAGGCTCATGGACCCTTCTCCTACCTCCTTCCTCAAGCTGGCTGACTTTGGGATCGCCTTCGAAGTCTTGACGCATTCGGTGGCGGGGACTCCCAACTACATGCCGCTTGAGGTCTGGAGTGGGAAGCTGGCGAGGGACAAGTACGTCGACAGCTATGCAGCAGCGGCGGTGCTGTATGAGATGGTGGAGGGGGGGCTCATGGTCCAGGATGAGCGCAGGACCCCGAGGCCACGACCCTTGCTTCAAAGGGGTACTACTTGGAATCACCAGGGGTCCTTCTTGCGGAAGCTCTTCGAGATGTTGCACGACAAGCCAGCCAGTATGAATAGCAACTGGTTTGGATGGAAATCCTTGCGCGAGGCCGTCAACTTCATGCTGGTGGTGGACTACTCAACTGGGATCATCGCGCCTTGGCTTGGTTTTGTCTTTCAACTTTTCTTACCGACCGCCGACGAGGAGACTTAAAAAACAACAGTATTTTCTTAAAACATAAGACCATCATCATTGAAACTGACAAAATAGGGTTATGATTGCTGTTCTTCCATCGTCATTGAGGCTGATTCTGGTGACCGTGCCACTCCAACTGGGGGCAAAGCCGAACGGGCCTTCAAACGCCTGAAGACGACAAGTGGCCAGGACGACGCAACGCTGAGAAAGGAGAAGAACAAGTCAAGGGCCGCCCGAAGGAAGAAGGCTCAGGCCTTAAAGAAGACAGGTCAAGCCGCCACTTGGCTAGACTCATTAAATATTCTTGTCACCCTTAATATTTAGTTCCCCCCTTGCCTACCAGACTAAGCGGTTATACGGTTATGTTCCCTGATATATCAATTGAAATTTTAAATCCCTGCCAGGCACGTTCAAGCGGCGCTGCAGTGCCAGAGCCCGATGAAAACCAAGAAGCTGAAGACGCCGCCGCCAAGAGCTCGACGGACGACGAAAAGGCTCAGGCATTGAATGAGTACGAAGAGATCAAGACCAAGTGGGAAAATTTGTGGCTTGGATTCAAGTTTTAATATTTTTTATGTTAATTTTTAAGACAAAAACAAAAAAGAACATAAGAAGGGAAACGGTTATACGAAGTCCCAAGGGAAACGGTTATACGAAGTCCCAAGGGAAACGGTTATACGAAGGGAAGCCGTTATACAAACCGGCTTATTCCAGCCTCAACTGGTTGCGATCTACGGCTGACGGCTCGGAATAAGGACCCCCC